CCAAATGTATTGATCTCCACTAATGATGATCTATTAGTTTTATTTAAACTTTAAATGAATAAATCTTCAAAACTACTGAACTGAATTACATTAATTTTATATGATTATAAATTTTGGGGGTGGTGTCACCACCGCGTAGGGGGCTGCACCTTCTAACGTGACGTTTTGCTAAACTTGTGTCGTCGGGTCTGGGCGTATTTAAAAAAAAAACTGAGCTGCCGGTAAATGCGTCTGTTGCGTTTTCGATGCGCCACCCTGTATATATATATATTTCTGAAGAATATGAGCAAATGATACCAAGTTCCCGAAAGGCGCTGCCATTTTTACCTACTACCATTAGATATAACGATATTATTGATTTCAAAAACTGGTGGCCGCATTTTCATAAGAAAACGTCTTAGTCAGCTGAAGCACAAAGAGCTAATTTCTCTATTTTACAGTACAGTGAGCGTACATACACTAGTGAAACTCCAGGATGTGTGGCGACAAGTAATTTCATTTGTGCTTTTTTGTCTTTTACTTTCAAGTTAACCAAACCTAATGCTAATTCACATTTATGTATAGGAAGTGCATTCTTAGAAACGGTTTTCATTAACTCGAGGAAGATAACTGACTTTTACATTACTTTTCTGATGAATTCGTTGGTTTTGACTATCATATTGTTTCTTGGGAAGTAAGACCTGAAGATTCTGAATGAAAATGACTATATAAGTTTGTTAAATATCAATCAATAAAGTTATTAATATATTATATAATAATATTATTTTCAAGCATTTTTCTTCAATTGAGTGAAAGAACAGCATAGTTCCAAGTCATTCTTCTTCAAATACCTTTTTTTGCAGTAATTTCTTTTTAAATTTATGTAGGTATTATTATCGGTCACCATGAGTTCTATAACTTCCCAATGGTTTTCTTTCAGAAAAGTTTTTTTAGTTTTTCTCAAAATGGTCATTTTGGAGATATATTGTTCTTTAATTCATACCGATTCAAATGTCTTTCCATATGGATTCTGCTTGAAAAGTATCTCTTGGAGTTTTCTGTACAAAAAATCAGCTGGATCACTATTTCTTAATTCACCATAAATACATCTATGTACTGATATAACAAAATCATTTTTGTTTTGAAAACGATGTGACTGAAAATTCCAATCGACAGTTGCTGTTAATTGGAATCAATCTGCCTGTAAAACACTGATATTAATTTGTTACACAAACCAGTGGCGTATCTTATTGTTTTGTCAGATCTGCTGGTACGAACACCACTATTGTAGTTTCTGTGTTGTCAATGCGATCTTTGTAATATATTTATGCATATAAGGTCAACTATAAAAAATCTGAGTCTAAACATCATGTATTATTTAAAGGAAGCATTTCTGGGCCCATTGTTATATGGAGTTTTTTAATATTTGAAAATGGTGAATTAGCCCTCAATTTTCCAGTATTCTTCAAATCATTTTATAGAACGAAACTGCTTTTTGCACAGGCTATCTTTTTCCAAACCTACTAAACTTGCCAAATCGAAGCTCATATCGTTGGTATTTTGCAGATTTTTCAGTAAAAATAAAATAAGAAATGCTTTCCATATTAACGGAACGCACACACATCACTGAGTTTTACTAAAACATAGTAGATAAGTAAGGCAAACTCTGGACCAAAATTGTGAATCAGTCTTTGAAAATGTCCCAGTTATGGTTCTACTGAGCTTTGCCTTTCGTCATTTGAATTAATCTTACAATTCGTCCATTCAAAATTTGTACGGATAAGATACAACTTCTTCTTTTGATTGTGCGTAGAAAATGCAGAGTGAATCTACTCGACACATTATTTATTACCATTGCCAAATTAGAATCAGTGCATCATTGTGTACATACAATCAACATTTTTATTTAATTGTCAGCATTTAGTTTCCGCAGTTTGTTAATTGTCGATAACCGCCCACGTCATTTGTCAAAAACGTAATAATAATTAATGAGAATATTAGCAACAAATTGGTTAAAATTTGATAGAACACCGCTCCCAAATTACATGGTTAGCCGCTTTTTCATGCATAACAATTCAGCTAATTAGGTATTCTCAATTAACTATCGGCCGTAGGCGAACGCGTATTAACAAAATTTAACCGCATCAAAATTTCATACATGGAAATCTACTTCGATGCTGCTGTTATATCATTGCTACATTATTAATCAGGAATTTATTGTGTAAAATTTCATTTGCGTCTTGTTTAAACTGAATGCCTCGTTATAGTCACATCAGCTCGTCTACCTCAGTTATGTGCTGTCGTTTCTAAATTCCGGATACCCCAATCAGCGAAAATTTCGAATTCCTGCGTGGGTGGACATGACTTTGCCTGCAGAAGGTTGAACCTTAGATTTATTTGGTGGCGAGTTTTAATTGCATCGATGTTAGCTAATTGGATGGTTCAAAATAATGGCACAAAGATTCGTCGCCGGCAATTATTGACGAAAGAAAGACAATTTTACGATCACTCAAACTGAGGAAGATTGGATAGAATATAAGAAATCAAGATACAAGTGTTAAACAAAGGAACGAAAAGAAAAAAATATTATGAAAACAAAATCGATAGCAATAAAAATGACAGTAAAATGATGTGGAAGACACTAAAAAATATTGTATCTCCCAATAGGAGGAATGAATTATCAAGAATGTGCTTTGACGATGGTACAGTAGCACAAAAAATATACAGGGTGACTTCAAAGTTGAGTCATTTATTTTAACAGTGAGTAGATCTGATCAAAAGAAATGTTTTTTTCCTTTACCATTTTTCTGGTAAAATTAAAGTAACAAAGTTATAGCCCTTTGGAAGTTTGAGTACCGCCCTGTCTCAATAATAATATTATGTGCTCGTGTTTGGCAACAACGGATATAATCCGCCTTACCGGTTCATCGCATCGGAAACAAAAAAGCGAAAGAATTTGGAACGATGTTTTTACAATTATTTTATTCAGTTGTATACAGTCAGTGTCAGTCGGTAACGCGTGAGTGAATAGTGGTGTCTGTTGCGTGGCTCAACCGAAATAAAAAATGGCACATGTTTACGAAAATGCTGAACTTGTGGACATGATTCTTATTTACGCGGCATCACGGATTTATGCGGATCGGTTCCCCAATCGGGTGCAACCAACCCCTCGTGCCTTTGTTAATGTAGTACAAAGGGCTCGTGAATCAGGTGACTTAAGACCTCACAGGGGAGGGCATGCCGGTGCTCCAAGACCGCACGATCAAATACAGGTCCGCACTGAAATACTTGTCGGGAGGATACTTTATAAAACAAGGTAACATTTTCTTTTATATTTACACACATATTTTGGTTTATCTTCCTTCTACAATCATTATCTGAAAATTAATGACTCAACTTCAAAGTTGATTGAAGAACGAATGAACGCCTATGTTATAGAAAGTATAAATGAGATAGTGGAATCAACCGAAGATGGGGATCCAAATCTATGTGACAAGCAAGTTACTTATAAATCTTCTATGAGACAATTCCAACCAATAAATGTCAGTCATCTTTCAAAAGCTATTACAAGATTGAAATCGAATAGAAATTCTAGTGAACATCCTTCAATGTTTCAACATTATTGGAGAGAAGTTATTATTGTTAGTGAATCACTGTTTGTGTATGGCGAATTTCCTTCAAAATTGAAATGATCTACAATTACTCCTGTTCCAAAAGTCCAAAATTCTGCGTTATATACAAACATGCGGCTAATTAATGTCAGATGTCGAGAAGCTCTTAGAAGGAATCATATATGAACAAGTCTTTGAATATATCGAAGAAAAATTTCAAGCAGGATTCAGAAAAAAGTATTCCACTGAAACAGCAATTCAAATGGTAGTAGAAGAATGGAGGCGAATAGAAAATGTTCATCGTTTATAATTCGTTCACTCATATCTTCACAAAATTGTAATCGCTAATCAAAATCGTCTTCATTAAGTTCTTGTACCAGGTGAATTTTATACGGATGAAAACTATGGGCCTTTAGAATCCGTTGGACAATACGTCGACTAACACCACATACAGTCTCCAATTTGCGGGTACTTAACGTATTATCTACATAAACTCGCCCTAAAACCCCCACTTCTATTGCTTCGTTCCTTATGGGATTTTCAATGTTGCGTTTTTTATTGGCGACTGACCCAATTTCAAGAAATTTAGCTACAAGTTCTAGAACTCATTTTCGATGCACGTTACTGTTCTCATGTCGCTCATTAAATATGTCTGCTGATCTATTAGAGCACTGATTATTTCAGAAAAATATTTCGATAATTTCAACTCTTTCTGCTGTGGAAACCATGGTTAATTTATGTAATAAAGCGACAAGTTATTTTAGCAACAAAGTTTGGTCAAATCAATCGCAAACTATGTACTAAATTTCTTTCTTCAAGGAATAACGCTCGAATTACTATTTTCAAAAACAAAATGATAAACAAACCATGGGCGTAGTGAAGAAAAGCATTTACTTATTAATTAAATTGTTTTAGTCAAATTTCTTCTGAAAGTAGTACAAACTAATCTGATGTACCTACTAAAGTTTACTTTAAGCTTTAAATCAATAAATCTTCAAAACTACTGAACTGAAGCTCATGTATTTTACATCATTATAAAGGGAATTGAAAGACTTTTAAAATAAGGTATCACTCGACCCCCCTTTCCATTTTAGATTTTAGGGTTGGTGTCACCGCCGCCCAGCGGGCTGCACGTGTTAACGTGATTTTTTGCCAAACTTGTGTCCCCCTCGAAAACAAAATCGACGGGTCTGAGCGTTTTTCCGAAAAAAAAACTGAGGTGCCAGTAAATGCGTCTGTTTCGTTTTCGATGCGCAACCCTGCAGTTACGCGATTGGAATTGTTTTCAAGGCTAACCTGATGGTTCTGGAAGTGTAAGCCGTAGAGTTTGAAGCCTTGTTGATGTAGTGTCCTAACAACGTACTTATAAATACATTATCGGTGGACCAGATATTAAGAACTGATACTTACTGTTCTGTTTCCCAAATTTTTCACTTTGCAGTTCAAAAGCACGGTGTTTCCCACCAAACCAGTGATATTAGAGTTGATAGAAGTGTCAAAGTAGGGACCTGTGTCCGGTGTTGGCCACTCTTGCAGGAAGTCTTGGAATTTTTTCGAACTCACGCTCATAGTCTCTTGAGAAGCTGAAAAAAAAAGATAAAATTGGTATACGAAGTAGAAACCATCTTCTTCAATATCAGTATACTCCGATTTAAGAAGTTGATTTTTTTTTGACGTGGTCTTCCTTAATTGTCTCTATATACTAGTATCTTTTCGGCCTGCGCTGCCGTATTGAAAAAATGGGGCATAAAAGTGCTTTGCCCATGATTTCGCATTGGTTTTATTTCCGGTCTTTCCACAGGCTCTACGAAAAGATCAACTTCATGAAATTCACACCCCTATATTAGGAGTAGTAACTTGAGTTTAGAGGTGGATGAAGTGCATCCTACTGGATCAATTTTTCTACTTTGGAATTTTTAAATTATAATTTTTAGTCTCGTTTGATTCATGTCTCACATGCCCTCGTTTTTCTATTGCAAATATTTGACTTTCTTTTACTCTATAGCTTCTGCATTCAATGACTTGTCATACATATTTATACAGGGTATTCCTTAATGACATGCGAATATTTAAGGGTATGAATCTACATGAAAAATTAATTTTAGTTTGCTTTATAAACTATGGTCCAAAAATGTTTCCCTACAAAAACTCGGGGTGTTGAAGTTAATTAATTAATATTTTCAGAACCGCTTCAGGTATTTCACTGATATTTAGTACGTAGTGAAAGTTAATAAAGTTGCATATTTTTCAATGCAAACATAATTTTTGGCTTGAACAGTGGCGTGCGTACGGGTATTGACTTCGATATTTTTTAAGAAAAAAATGTTACTCCAATAGTTTTTTGCCAAAGAATAATTATTTTTGAATTCCCCGTTCAATTTAAAACAAATGATCTCTCCTGAATTGTTTTCTTTCGATGCGCCATTTTTGAATAAAAAAATAAAAACCGTTCTATTGCCCGAGAAAATTGTTGTAATTGAAGAATGCAATTTAGCAATAAATATCTAGTTGCTCTGGAATATGCTTTTGACATCTGACAAGTCTCTGTCTCTGTTATTCAAATCTTTTTCATTATTTAGCTTTTACAATCTTGTTAATGATGGTGAATTATTCAAATGCAGAAATGGCGGAAATGCATTACGTATATGGCCTTGCCGACGGTAATGGTGAGCAAGCCAGACGGATTTATCACCAGAGATATCCCGATCGTGCTTTGCCAGATAGTCGAGCCTTTTCTAATATCGATACGTATTTGCCAAAGTAACGTAAGTCACCAAAAACGATTTCGGAGAAAAAACGTGTTTTTAATTTAACCTGGTTAAACTTTTTTAAATCGCGCAAAATTTACCAGAGTGTTTCTCTGAGGTCTATATTTAATTAAGAAAAATTATTTTTGAAGTTTTTCTATAGTTTTAGTCGTTAATTGATACTGACGTTACTTTACGGGTTCAAAAATCTTGAAGTCTTGATAAAAAATGTAACGTAAGTACACAGATACGTCAGTTTGGCGGCAAATCGTACCACTCAAAGTATTTTGGAAAGAATTAAAAACTATCGTTTATTATTAAAAAAAAAACACAAAATAACGTTACAAAAGGAAATATGAAATAATTACTAGTACAAAATATATATTTTTTTAAGTTTTGGAGCTTTCATCTTCATCGTCATCCTCTGCATCAGTTTCTGCTAACTCATCTGGAAGAGAAGACTTACATTTTAATTTAAAGAATTCATCGTGAAACCTGGCAGGTATGACATTCTTTTGCAAAGTTTTTCCAAATCCCTTTTCTTCATTTTGGATACTGGAAGCCGTTGTTTATAAATTTTTTTCGACCTTAAACAAAGAAATACTTGAGGATAACTTGCAAATATGTATTCATGTTTTATATTTGTAGTTCATTAACAGTTTTCTGTATTTAATAAAGTCTTAATAACACGGGAATTCCCTATACAGGGTGTCACTAAATTAGTATTCAAAACTTCAACCACAAACAGAACATTAAAAAATATAGAGATGAAAAATTTGCGATAAGCTTGGGTCCGGAAACGTTTCATTTCCGAGATACATTGTGTTGAAAATACGTTAAAAATCAGCTTTTTTCTTATAATTCAGACAAAATGCATTCGAACATTTTTAAACTTTGTCGTTTCTCTTATTTCGGTGGTACCCATTATGAGAAGGAAAAATCTTAATTATCTAACCAGTGGCGTAGTTACTTAATACGCTGAAAAGTAAAATAGCCTAATTCTTTCGCCAATGCATTTTTTACAATTTTAATAATTCATTATTATTGCTCACTTTATTTAGAAAAAAGAGTACTGTGTCAAACTTTTGGAAAAATCAACCGTTCCTTTGTTTAAACAAAAAACAAAAACCATATTAGTACTAAGTAATATTGAATGAAAAATATGATTTGTCTTAACTACAAGTTTTTGTCTAAAAAAATAGTAGGATATGCTGATTGTTGATTGCTAATGGCATTAAAAATATTGACAGAATAAAAATTCGAAAATACTTCTAATTCTAACTATAAAAAAATGTCGTTATTATTTACTTACCTAAAATCAATAATTAGTCGATGGTAGCACGAACCTAGCACTGTCGTAAGCCAAACACTGACTGCGAAAATCTGACGTAAGTCGCAGAAACCGACCGGGACTTACGTTATTATGGCGGTAAAAAACGTTAGCTTGCGTTACTATGATGGAAATAGTGTTAAAGTTACGTTTCTTTTATGGATATGATTTAAAAAATTCGGGACATACGTTTTAAAAAAAAGTTAAAAACAAAGGTTTAAAGTAAAATCTAGGCTTCCTACACTTTGGCAGTACCTTCTCAACAATAAAAGCCTTACGTTAATGGAAAAACATGATTTTCACCAAAAATGTCACTTACGTTGCTTTGGCAAAAATGCATCGATACTTATCGTCGTCTTGTTGAAACTGGTTCTGTTCGAAAAGGAACATCTGAAGGTAGACCTCGAAGTGTGAGAACACCTGAAATTGAGGAAGCAGTGCTGCACGAAGTCGAAAAACATCCTGAAACGAGTACGAGGAAGATCGCTAGACACTTACTTATATGATTTATTTGTCATCAATTTGTTTGGAGAATTTTAATGGTTTTTTTTTATATCCTTACCATATTTTAAGAGTACAGGCATTACTTTCCATTGATTTTCCAAGGAGTGTGATCTTTTGGCAGTGGTATCTTCAAAAAAATTACACAAAATCGGGAATTTGAATCAAGAAAATCCCGATGCCGTAACCGAAACCCATTTCCAACACCAATTTTCGGTTAACGTATGGGCAGAAATTATTGGCAACCACCTTATTGGCCCATTCTTCTTGCCGGGATAACTTACCTCAATTTTTTTCAACAACAGTTGCCTTTGCTACTTGATGATGTTCCTTTAGTAATAAGAAACAAAATGTGGTACATGCATGATGGTGCACCAGCGCATTTCAGTGTAGCGGTTCGTAATTATTTACAAACTGTTTATCCAAATCGTTGGATTGGTCGTGGTGGGCCCGAAGAATGGCCACCAAAGTCCCCAGACCTCAACAGTTTAGATTTCTTTTTGTGGGGCTATCTTAAGACACTAGTGTACACAAGTCCCATTAACACTGTAGAGGAACTAAGAGAAAGAATAGCTGCAGCTTGTGATATAATAAAAAACACTCCAGGGGTATTTCAACGAGTGCGCAATTCCATGAGAAAGAAGGCGGAAATATATTAAGTGAAGGGGCCAACAATTTTTGTAATCATTTCGTTAGTTTTAATGTTATGTTTATGTTGTCAGTTGTTGTTGTTGTTCATTAGCCCTAATGTGTTTAATTTTATTAAAAATTAATAATAATTTTGTAAATTAGACTATAGAACGGTTTTTATTTTTTTACTCAAAAATAATTTTTATTTGGCAAAAAACAAAAAATTATTTTTGCATTGAAAAATATGCAACTTTATTAACATTCACAATAGTTTATAAAGCAAACTAACATTATATTTTCATATAGATTCACACCCTTAAATATTCACATATCATTATAGAATATGACCAATAAATAAATTAATCCCAACACTTGAGAAAAAATATAAACATTTAAGGGAAAATTCGTTTTTTTTGTCTATTAGTTACCAGAATGGGCAACTTTTTCCCCATTCAATCGACTTCGTGTCCCGCGAAGTCAAATAAACGTATTACATAATATTCTGTACATATCAAAAGATAAAGCGGCATTATTACAGCGGTTCTGTGGCAAGGAGTTTCACAGAGAATACCCAGCTTCCGTTAGTCTCATCCGATCCGAAGCGAGCCGAAACTTCATCACAGCTCGGAATTTTTTATTAGCTCATGAAATTAGAAAAGTTTCGAATAATTCATGCATGATGGGAAACTTCTAGCGGTTGATTACACTCCGTCAGTAATAATATTATTACGGAAAGGGTAGGTATCTGATGCAGACGATCCTGCTAGAAACTTTCAAGTATTCCATAGCAAGTTGTTAGAGAGCACAGTCTGCGAAAATAAAAAGTTCGACTTTTGTTATGCTTAAGAAGATGAAAATACTAACGATCGCCAAATGGTTCACCAAGCTAACTTCATCTTGAACGTCTTTGGGCTTAGAAATTATTATTATTATTATTATTATGATAATTGAGATGAGCAGAGTACACAGTACTATAAGCTCATGCAGTAAATATAGTGTACGGACACGTAACACAAATACATCAAATAGAAAAAAATAAAAAAAGACAGTTCATAGCTATAAAGTTTGTACACTCCTCCAGCTATCATACTGCACTTTGAAGCTATTAGCTGAAGTAGCACCAATCACACTTTCAGGTAAACTATTCCAGGTGTTGAATATGCGGTTGGGAAGAAACCACTGTCGGACTGTTGTTTTAAATAGCTCCTTATGCAGTTTGAGGCTGTGTCCGCGTAGATTGCCGCGCGACAGACGGTATAGATGCATGAGGTTGGTGCCCATCAAACCATGAAGTATCCTGAACGTAACTATAAGATCGCCACGAAGTCTTCGCTCAGAGAATTAGGTCAGGTTGAATAATTCAAGGCGATCTTCATAGCTTGGTCTTCGTGCTCCAAAAGGGATACGAGTAGCCCGACGCTGTACTGATTCGACGAGATTTCTATCGCGCAGAAGCACAGTGTCCCATACCGGGCCAGCGAATTCAAGAATTGGCCTCACGAATGCCTTGTAAATGTAGGCGCAAGTGTTGACATCGGATCCTTTGAAAGACCTCTCCAGCATGTATCGAAGTTTCTTGGCTTTTGATGTAACGTGGTGAATATGCTCTGACCAGGAAAGACGATCGTTGACTACAACGTCCAGATCAGTGTGGCTGGAAACTGCTTCGATGTTGTGGTCAGAGATTTGTATGTAAATCGCGGATCTGTCTTCCCGAGGTGAAGAACACAACACTTAGTTAGATTTAAGGGTAAAAGCCAACTGACTGACCATTGACAAACAATATCAAAATCTCGTTGAAGCATAGCAGAATTTACGACAGTATTGTAAATCTTGGTGTCGTCGGCATAAGCTGAACATGTGGAGGAAATCAATGCGGGCAGGTCACTTGTATACAGAAGGAACAGCACTGGCCCCAAAACAGAGCCTTGAGGAACTCCACTTGCTACATGATGAAGGTGAGACTGGCTATCACTGACGCGCACAGAGAAAGTCCTCCCGGTGAGATAAGCCTTAATCCACAGTAACAACTCGCCTCTTATTCCCATACATTCAAACTTAAACAGAAGCCTTCTATGTGGTACGCGATCGAAAGCCCTAGGAAAATCTGAGTAGATTATATCAACAGGAGTCTTTGTGTCCAGATACTGAGTCCAATCGTTGAGAGAGTGGAGAAGGTTGGTCACTATTGATCGACCAGGGAGAAATCCATGCTGATTCTTAGGGATAAGGTCATTTTCGAAAGCAAATGACAGGAGCTTATCTAATATGATTCTTTCAGCTATTTTGGCGGCGATAGGAACGAGACTTATTGGTCGATAATTTTTAGCGGAGGATTTGTCGCCCTTTTTGAATACAGGGGTAACAGAAGCATTAAGCCAGCATGAGGGTAGGGTATGAGATCTGAAAGACGATGTGAATATCAAGCTTAATGGTAGGGCCAGTGCTGAAGCGCAGTTTTTAAGTACAGTAGCCGTCATCCCATCTTTACCAGGGGAGGAAGAGGTCTTCAGATTTCGCAGGTGCATTAATACATCTTCAGGCAGGAACTCAACTTCGCAAAGGCTGTTGGGACACCTATGGCAGATAGTGGTCGGTAGAAGGTCTCCATTAGGCTCATCGACGAAGTCATCACTAAAGGACTCTGCCAGTAAGTTGGCAGATTCGGTGGCATCCATGTGGAGATGACCGTCAGCGTCGCGGATCTGAGGTGATGAAACTTTGGAATTCAGGTTTGTTCTTAGATACCGAAACAGCTTCTTCTTATTTTTGGAGGTAACGAGTTTTCGTTCATAAGCATGTTTGGCATTATGTAACGTTCTAGATAGGAGGTTAGAAAAGGATAGATGAGACACGTAATCTTGTGAATGGCCACTCCTCCTAAACCGTTGCCACAAAGATTTCTTGTGACGAAGCATCCTCGATATGTTAGTGTTGATCCAGGGCTTTGATCGGTCACAGTATACCTTCTTTTCAACAGTATTGTCAGACGTTTCGCTTAGGACTCGTTGAGCGAAAGTGTCCCACATATCTTGGGTGCTACGGTTGTTAAGCAAATCAGGCCAGTTGACTTCAGACAGGGCTTGGTTAAGAGCATCGTGGTTTACAATTTTGATGGTTTTAAACTTATCGGTTGTAGAACGACTATTTATATTGAACTGGAGAGAAGATAAAAGTGAACAGTGGTCAGACTTGCCAAAAGGTGGCAAATAATCTAAATTAGAAACAAAGTCGGCGTCGTTAACGAATATCAAATCCAGAGCCCTAGGCGTCTGTCCTTCCCTGAATCTCGTTGGACGATCAACAAGTTGAGATATGCTAGAGTTGCGTAGCAAGTCGATGTAAGCAGCAGCAAAAGAGTTGCATTCAGGAATGGTTGACATAGGCCAGCTAATGTCACGTAGATTGAAGTCACCAGCTATGAAAAGGTTGGTGTTTTTATTTAAGAGATCTGAAATGAGACTGCACAGGTGTGTGTCTCCCAAACAGGGCCGTGGCCGATATATGCAGCCTATCGTGAAGCTGAAATTTGGGCACCTCAATTCCAAAAATAGATTGTCAATGCCATCGAAAGGACTGAAAGAGGGATATACCGAGAAAGCCGACGCGATTTCCGTGCGAACATAAATGCATACTCCACCAAAACCAGGAGTGCGTGGTGAATCCATTCTGTATAAATAGTATCCAGGAAAATTGATGGAAGAGTCGGACACGTTGGAATGAAGCCATGTTTCAGTAAGGCAAACGAACGTTGGATTATTGTCTCGAACAAATGCTTGGAGTTCAAGTAGCTTAGAAAAGAGAGATTGTATATTAGTGTAACAAACCGTCCAGTTTGCCAAAGAATTTATCAGTTTTTTGAAGGTGTGATCTCCTGGGTAGCTGTGTGTACTATAGAATGTTTACCACGAACGTATTTTATAGTAATATTACTTTCGCCTGTTGTTTGACGACGTCTTAGCTCTTCGCGAAGGTGTTGTAGTTCTTGCATTTGACCTCTGGTTTTGTCGTCAGAGAGTTTTACGTGACGAAGCGTGGGGTGGCTAAGGATGGAGTTTTTCTTCCGCAAAATATTGCTGACGATAATAGGTGAGGAAAACACAACTCTAATTAAACGATTGCTTGAAGTTGTTCTGCCAAGGCGAGTGATGCTGAGTCGGTGATTTTCGGCAGATGGTTCAATATGCCTAATTATCTCTGATACTATGTTTATGTCACCGTTCCCTTCAGCTATGCCCCTCAGAATGATATTGTGGGAACGTCTAAATAACTCCATTGTCTCAGCTTGGGAGCTTGGGGCAATAGGGGTAGAAGAAGCGCCATTGCCTGAGTGCATTGGTCTACGTTTACATTATATGCAGACAGATGTCGCCAAACATCACTGTTG